CAGAGAACCATTTTTAATAATTAAAGTCACAGGAGGAGGATTTCAGTGTGATCGGGAGCATTCCGGGATGGAGTCACAGACAAGCAAGACTTGAATATGCATAGGTGAGTCAGACTGATGGTAGGGAGCAGGGGTTGTTGAGGGGAGCCGATGAATAAAGGAGCATGAGCAAAGCTGAGGGCAGAGGGGGCACGTAAGTTTGGGTGATCATAGTAAAAACAGTTGAGATTGATTTGGAAAAGGCCTGGGAAAAAATTGGGGGGGAAGCATGTATCGATCAACTAAAAAACATATATTAAGTGCTTCCTAAGTGCCAGGCACTGCTCTAGGCACTATGGATGCAGTGGCGAAGAGGACAAAGTTTTCTGCAGTCAAGAAACTTCATGTTTATGATGTGAGGGGGAACAGAAAATAGCGATATAAATACTGTGAAAGATAATTTCAGATTGTGATGAAGTTTGATTGATTTATCTGATTGTGATCAAAGAGAATGAAACAGACTACAGACATAAGGTTGTTTTAGGTAAAATTAGAACAGGCATCCCCTACAAGTACATTTATTCTTTTATTAGTTTACATAGTATTACCTTCCATATGGCTTTCTGAGTAGGAATATCTTAAAGCCACTGGCCCGTTTCGTGAAGTTTGGTTTAGTTAACAATCTGTGTTATTATCGTCATAATTCTGGTTCTAGTTTAGAATTAGCCAAAAAAGACTGTGCCCACATTTGTAGCAACTCATTGTTTCAATGTGCAGAAAGTGAGTGACTGGATGTGGGCACTTGTCAATCCCTCCCAGTTGTGGAATTCTCGCTTCACGGTAGGAAACCGGCGTGTGGCAGAGCACCACCAGACAAATGCATTGACTGAAGATGCCAGTATCAATTGCTGGGTTCAGATTTATAGTACATCTTCGGTTCTTTTTTTATTTGTTAAAAGGTTACACGTTACGTATATTATGTTCAAATATATGTTTTAATATATCAAATGTTATAAACACCCTAATTTTATCCACCCACAGGGTGCACACACCCTGCTTTGGGAAGCGCTACACTAAGGAGAGTCTGGGGGAGGATGGCTCTTTCACTAAGGGTGGTGAGGAAGGAGACTGTGAAATGCCGTTAGAGCTGAAACACAAAAGGATGAGGTGGGAACAGCCATGCAAAGAAGAATATTTCAGGTACATGTGTATCAGGGAAGCAGAGCCACTGTGAATATTATGGAAATAAAGGATTTACTGCAGGAATCAGATCTTACAACAGGTAAGGGGGGATCTCAAGAAGGGGAAATCTGGGAGGACAGTCAAGGGTTGGAGAAAGGTTCACTGACAAAGCTATCAGAGACACTGGTGCAGCTGGATAAGTAAGCACTTATGACAGAAACCAAGAGGCTGGGACAGCTAGGGGCCTGTGGGAAGCCATTGCTTCTCTGTAACTATGGCCTCAGTGGATACACTTCCAAGATCTAGTGGAGGGCCTGGGACCATTGTTGGTCATGAGGCCGAGTCATGAAGACAAGGGGAACACAGAGGAGAGCAAGAAAAAGCTGGGATCGGTGGATACCAAGGTGCCTGTCATTATGTCTAATCAAGAGTAATGACCACTCTTTCACTTCTCTTTTATAAATTTCACACAAGTATCTCTTTGGCTAAATCTAATCTAGAATCACACAGGAAAGGGGATTCTGGGAAAGAGATCCCAGCTTAACCAAGTTGATAGAGCACAACCCGGCACATCAGGGAACAGCATGTGCAAAGGCCCTGAGAAGGAAACAAATTCAGTGTGCTTCAGAGACAGAAAGGAGGTGAGGCTGGGGCTCAATAAGTAAGGGGGAGAAGAAAGGGAGCATGGTCAGACAAGCAGGCATAGCTTAACTCACATATGGCTTGGTAGGCCATGGAATGGTTGATTTAATTCTGAATTACTTAAAATATTTTATGTATGTATGTATTTATTTTCATAGAGAGAGAGAGGAAAAGAGGGAGAAAGGAAGGATGAGAAACATCAATGTGAGAAATATCGATCAGTTGTGCCCTGACCAGGGACTAAACCCACAGCCAAGGCATGTGCCCTGACCAGGAATCACACTGGCTGCCTTTTGCTTTGCAGGATGCTGCCCAACAAACCTAGCCACACCAGTCAGGGATAAATTACTGGATTTTAAACAGGGTGGTGGTATTCTGCGAGTTATTCTCTGAAAGAATCATTCTGACGTGAATGGTAAGGCAGGGAGATTAAAGTTGAAGAAAGGGGGCAGCAGGGAAAAATAGCCTCAGAAAGAGAAAAAGATGGCCTGGACTTTGAGTATAAAAATATAGATATGGAGAACTGGTCAGTCAGGCTTTTAATATTTTTCTTTTCAGTCCCGGAAACATTGTTCTGTGTATTTGATGTGGAAGAAGTGAGGAAGGTGCAGCAGAGGTAGATAGTCAAGGGTGGAACTGACACTCAGTACTTTCTGTGCATCAAGATCTATGCTGGGCCTGTTTCTCACAACCCTGATAAGGAAACTGACGCACAGGGAGGTTAAACAGTATATGTGAACCAAGTTCACATAGCTAATAAGTGGTGGGCTTTTGCTCCTAACCCAGATATCTCAGAATCCAGAGTCTTAGCTCTTTCCACAGCATTCTGCTGCTTTTCAGGTTAAGACCCTGTGTGTAGTCACGTCCACAATTAGCAGCTGTCGCCTGCCCAAACGTCTGGCTTCAAACATACCAGGCTTATATTCTTTGTCCACTTGCAGCCTCCTTAAAGAGTCCTTGCTGAATACCTCCATCCCAAATTTTCTGCACTGCTATGCTTAGATCTCCACCATAACTATTTAAGGTTTTATAATATTTGAACATATATACTTTTAGAATATGAAAAGAGGACTTTTTTTTGTTTCCTGGGTGTATATCTCATTGGAATAGAATTATCCTTCTGGATTAGAAAATAAATTTCATTCCATATAAACTCTTATAAGTCAATGTTATAAGGTATTGTTGTCACATTTTCCATAGACTTTTTTTTCTGTCCCCAAAGAGCCCTATGAAGGGCTTCCAAGTCCTTATCTTAATTACACCTTATTTGAGATGAAAACAAAGGAAGAAAGACACGTGAGAATTACTGTTAAGCATGCAATAGTTGAGGTGTATGTTCAAGGCAATAAAAAAAAATCAAGATTTGTTTTCTGCTTAATGATTCATTTATTGATACCACTGTCTTAAAGAAATTATTTCAGAGTATAAAGTATATATGGTACTCCTGCTTTGAACTTAATTGTTTGCTTAGAGAGTATAGATGTATATATAGGTGGTGAATGGTTATCATGTACATAGATGTCATAACATGTGATTTCTGATTATTAGTTTTATGCTGTCCACTTTACCTGTGAGATGCATGGTAACTGGGTCACAGACTCAAATTGGGAACATTTAGATTTTTCAGGGAAGTTACATGAAAGGTGCTAGATTTTCAGGGTTAACTAAGATACTGTTTGGGCGAGATCACCACTGGCCAGCACTGAAAATCATCTGTAGTATGTAATAAAACTTGGGAAAGTAGGTATATGTTCAAATTCTGGCTAAAGACATCCTGCCCTATACGATTCACTGAACATCTTCTTTAAGAGAGTTTTGGAGGCCTATGGAGGTGAAGTGGCTACCAGCCAGTCTCCACTAACAGGATTTGCTGCTCCCTCTAGCTCTTGGTACCTTAATACCTCCTTTCTTCATGAGACCTGGTGAGGTAATCAATAATCACTATATTTTACAAGCTCTGAAAAAAATTTAAAGATATGTAATGACAATGACATCCATAATTACCTAAAATGAGTTTTCAAAAGGATGTTGGTGGCTTTGTCAGATCATAGAAAACTGAGGCTTGTCAGGAATGGTACTGAAGGATTTTTTGTAGGGGGTGGGGAAAGGTCAGACACTGGTTGATTTCTAAAGCCCATTGGAAGAGTCCCATTCTAAGATTCTATCATTCTAGCTTCCCTGTATATTTTATGAAAACAGTTAAGAATATCCACAAATATTTAAACATTTCCTTCTTATCTGCTGAATAGGCCAAGTTAACACCTTGTCATAATAAGAGAAGGATATTGCATCATCCTGGTGGCTGCAGAGACAATGGCCCTGAAGATAATGACTAAAAGAAGTTACCAGGGATTACTTAATATTGAGTAGCCAATAGATAACCAGCTCCTGCTCTGAGGAGATGGTCTGGTTGCCCTCCTACCTATAAAAACTGCAACTAAGAAATCATCCAAAACCTGGTTCCACAGTATATGAGGCACAGTGGTGGTTTTAGGGAAATAAAGCATGGCCCCTATCCTTAAGAAGCTGACAATCTGGTTAGAGAGATACATTAACACAAAAAATAATTAGAAATAATTAAGTGTTCATTTGAGTGGTGTGGAGCACAAGTGAAATAAGAGTTTTAACATAATCCAGGTGTCCCGGAGGCTTTATTGAAGAGTCAGGGTTGAACAGAATCTTGACGCCTATGTCAAGGGAAGATGAGTGGGGAGAAGGCGGCATGCCGGAGAGGTGCTGGGGAAAGAATGAGAAAAGAGTAGATCCAGGTCAGCAAGATTATGACCTGCGTAGTAGAGGAGGGAGGCACTGAATTGTGTAGAACAGTGAGGAACTGGGTTGACTGAGGCAAAAAGGGCACAACAGAACTAAAGCGGTCACCTGAGCAGGCAAGATAGAGTCACATGGCCTCAAGAGCAAGAGAAAAAATTCTGAAAGGTGAGTGCTAGTGTTCTCCAGTGGCGGTCCCCAGAAATAAACAGCATTTATCTCTCAGGTACATTGCACAAGAGGCCTGTAGGCTGGTGCAAATACAGTGCTGATGGCCACGGCAGCTTGGCGAGATCCAGCTCCATTCCCAACTGCTAGGCTCATCAGCATGCTGCCAAGCTGGGGCTTACTGATGTGCCTCAGAATACTCTCTGGAGACTGCAGGCTGTGATCTTGGTTGCTTTCCCAAGCGGCTGCTGTGTGTTGGATGTGTTTGTGTGGGCATTGTCCACATGTGGGTGTTACTAAGATCATGCTCTTAAGCATGATGAAATTCAGCTGGTTGTCGGTGGAAGACTAAAGACAAACTACCGTCTCTAACAATTCTTAACATTTGGGTTTTAACAGCCACTTTCTATATTTAATTACAATTTTATAACAATGCTTTAAAATTTCTAGTCAGGTAAACAAGCTGATGGATTAAGGGGCCGTCCTGTTCTGAAATTATTTCAGCAAAATTAAAAAGAACACTTTTAACACAATATACTTGTTGGTAAAGTGGTTGCTTATGTAGCCTTCTTTTGAGGAGGTTGAAATTTCCTGCTTTTTTTGATGTTTCCTCCTTTCTTTTGGTTTTTCTTTTGGCTGACCTGCAAGGAGATGGGGGAAAAAAGAGCAATGTTTCTTTATCTTATCATTTTTCCTTTCTTATATTATATTTGAACTCTCCAGACTGTGGTCCTTCTTTATCCTCAGAACTTGTTTAAAGTTGCTTCACTTTAGGAGGGGCTCCTTTTGATTCTCTCCTCTTCTCCCACTTTGAGGACGGGGTGAAGTTCTCTAACTGGTCTTCTTTTGTCCACTCTCCTAGTTTATTACTACCCTCACTCCAACCTTGCTTACAACCTAATTGTCCCAAGTACAACCTTCTGAGGTTGGTACTATTATCATCCACTATTCTCTTCTGGGGAGACTGAGGCTTGGAGAGGGTGACTCGACCAAAGTTGCATAGCTAGTATTTGGAAGAACCACTAGTCTGTGAGACTCCAACAGCCACACTCCCAACTACATATTCTGTGGCCCTCTTCAAACATAACACCTCAGGGTGTCATACAGTATTCTTCCCACTTTGTCCTGTTCTACCTTTTAACCTCAATCTCTTAATTTCTTCCCTACAAACTCCATACACATTAAATGAAGCTCCCTGAACATGGAAAGCTCTCTCATGATTTTATTCTTTCTTTCATGATATCTTTACCCTTCTGGTGAAGTACTTAACCTTCAAGACCCAAAACAAATGTCACCTGAAAGCTCTTCCTTAATAGTTTCTAGCTGTCCCTTTCTCCAGCAAAATTAATTACTCTTTTTTCTATAATCTTCAAGATTCTTGTGTATATTTTTATTTTATATTTCATATTGTACTTTAATTTTTCATTTTAATTTTTTTTATTGAGAGAGAGAGAGAGAAATTTGCTCTTCCACTTAGTTATGCATTCATTGGTTGATTCTTGGTTGTGTCCTGACTGGGGATCAAACTCACAACCTCAGCATATAGGGATGATGCTTCAGTCAACCGAGATACCTGGCCAGGGCCACATTGTACTTTAATTTATCATTAGAATATTTGCTACAGCAGGAAAGTAGTATATCTTATTTCCTTTCTATCCTCAGTACTCTACTCTTAATTCAATACTTACTTATTGTGTTGAATAAGAAAGATAAGCTCCCTACACTTGTAGAACCTACAGTCTATTGGTTTGATAGACAAGTGATACACGCTGCAGGAATATAACTATACCTCAAGTGAGGACATCATTCTAGGAACAAATTAGGAGCATAATAATGTAAATTTTAAAAATGTATCTTTAAAAGGACTACATAGATTCTTTGTCTTCCAGTTAATTTTTAAGAGAAAGGACATTTTGTTCCTTCCTTTCACCAACCTGTTTCTTCCACTCTTTAATCAATTTTTTCACGTATCTTGAATTTGGGTTTAGACATGTTTGATCCCCATTCTTCATTGTAGCACTGCCAAAGAAATAGCAACAAGACATTTTTTAAAACTTTGAATAATTTAAGTGCTTCCCCAGAGTGTACTTATGTCTTTACTGTGAGCACCTGAGAATTCCAGCCTTTTTCCTGCCTTTTCTTCTTGTTGTTGTTGACATTATTACAGACGTTCCCTGTTTCCCCCACCTCCACCCAGCCCCTGCCCTTACCTCCCCATGGATTTCACCACACTATTGTCTCTGTCAGTGAGCTATGCATATATATTCTTTGACTAATCTCTTTACCTGCCTTTTCATTTTCTCAATGAGTGAGGAGACGTAGATAAGTTTCTAGGATAGCACATAACCATAAATTTAAAAAATATAACAGGTATATGCAATAGGAGAAACTTATATCTAAAGATGATATTGGTTCTTTTGTTGTGGAAAAGCTCTTTATGCTTAACTGAAGAAGCAAAATAAGAAAGTTACCAATAGACCTACTTTTTTGCAAAAACATTAAAAATCAGCATGAATTTTGCCATATTTTCTAATGAAACTACTTAAAAGATAATAAAATGTTATCCTAAAACTAGATTAACAGACTGGTTGAACTTTTTAAATTACACAGCAGACTCTCCAGAAATAATTTAAAGATTTTTCTCTAATTTTTCAGTACACTCGGAGAATAAGGGTAGCCATTCTACATATTATCCTTGATTTGGGCTTCAAAAGACTTAAAGTATGCACATACTTTAACCTAGAAATTCTAATCTCTAGAAATGTATTATTAATAGGGAAGAATTTAAGACACAATATTGCCATAATGAGTTTAATTTTAATAACAAAAATTGGAAGTAACTTACATTTGGGCATTGATCATACAGATTATGGTACATCCATATGCTGGACTATAATTTGGTCATTTGAAATGACATTATTAGAAAAAGATGATATTATTACAGGAGATTTACTGACATGAAGAAATCTTCATGATATAGGGTTAATGAAAAAGCAGATTACAAAACAGTAGTGTATTATTTTATTTGTGTGTATATATATTTATAAATATATGTATATATATTTTGTGTTTATATACGCACACACAAAGTAAATGAGGGAGATCTGGAAAACTACATATCAAGGAGTTAACAATACTTGTCTCTGGATGAAAGGATTATAAATACTTATTTTCTTCTTTTGGGTTATCTGCTTTAAACATTTTCTACAATGAACAAGTATTATTTTTGTAGTATGTAATCCTTTGTTCCTAATCTCTATCAGAACTTACTTGGTTGTTGTTTTTTTGTTTTTTTGTTTTTGTTTTTTAAGAAAAGAAAGTAGGCCAGATTTAGAGAGAAGAAACAATCTGAGTTTTAAATGTCTATATGGGTGAGCATTCTGAGGGTAATAATCACAATACATTTAATGTTTCTGCCAATATGACTAATGCATGTTGGATGAGATTTTACTTACATGATTTCAGTGTTTTTGCAAGAAGGGCTGGGGGGAAACTGTTGAAGGTCCTTTAAGGATCTTAAGTGGATCATCCTTTGGTTGGTGTCGATGCAGGAACAGCGTCCACTCCTCATCATTGGAGATCCTAAGGGAAAGAGAATGGGTAGGACACACTGGTTTAGGGCAATGTCTCAATTTAGGCGATTCATAAAAATGATATATTTGTCTTTGACCATGGTTATTATTATCACTTACTGAGTGTCTAATAAACAATACCACAAACTTTTCAGATAGATATTACCTCCATTTGATAGACAAAGAAGCTAAAGTTTAGAGAAGTTAAGTAAAGAACAAGTCACTCAGCTTTTAGGAGGCTGATACAGACTTTGAGTCCAAAGGCCTTGCTCTTAACTACCATATTATACAACCTTAGGAAAAAGATGTTCACAATATTTAAGAAATGCTTCTTACAGGTCAGACACACAGATACCTAATTCATGTGTGCTATGTGGACCACAGTTTCCTAAGCAAATTCCAAAGCCATTTACTATATGATCTTAGTAGAATGCAGTTGGTGTTGGTTTGGACAGAAAGCTCTACATAAATATAATAACCAGTTATCACCATCATCCTCATCCTCCTCACTGCCTCACTTTTCAATAACGCTTTAAACTTTTGGAAATTCTTTAAAATACATTATTTTTATTCCTTTTTTAAAAATTGATTTTAGAGAGAGTAAGAGAGAGAGAAAGAAAGAGAGAGAGAGAGAGAGATTGATTTTTGTTCCACTTATTTATGCATTCATTGGTTGATTCTCGTATGTCCCCTGACCAGGGATCAATCCTGCAACCTTGGCTTACTTGGACAATGATCTAACCAAGTGAGCTACCCAGATGGGCTATCTTCATTTCTTAATTCTTTTTTTCAATTAAAAAAAATACGTATATTGATTTGACAGAGAGAGAGAGCACTAAAGAAAGAAACACTGATATGAGAGAGAAACATTGATTGGTTGTCTCTTATACACACCCCACCCAGAGCCCTGACTGGCACCATGACTGGGGATTGAACCCACAGTCTATGTATGTGCCCTCACCAGTAATAAATCCCCCTTCCTTTTGGTGATGCTCTTACCAACTGAGCCACACCAGCAAGGGCTTCATCTCTTAATTCTTTCGTTCATTACACACACACACACACACACACACACACACTCTCTCTCTCTCTCTCTCTCTCTCTCTCTCTCTCTCACTCAGTGCTTATTATATGCCATACATCATGAGATAGGTAGAAAAAGCATAACTATAAAATCTCCATTTTATAGCTGAGGAAGTTTAAATCTAGAAAAATTCACTAGTTTGCTCAAGGTAACAAAGAGATAGTAAAGAGATTAGAAAATTTTTTCTGATTATTGAATCTTTAATTGGTTAAGTACAGACACTTACAACATGCCAGGAATTCACACACTAAGACTGAGGAGACTTTTTTTAATTTGGAAAGTCTAAGATATGAATTTTGTATAATCAACCACATCACCGAGAAGCTTTTATGAGTGACTCATTGAATTACTTTCTGATGCATGAAAAGCAATTACCTTTACTGGGCAAATCAAGAGGCTTTTACAGCAATTAAAATTTCTGACTTTACTAACCTAATGTAACTCAGAACACCTTACCTTGAACTCCAATGAGAATCAGGAAGATTATACCCAAAAGGAGAGGAGCACCACTTTTCTTCATAGTGCTAGAAGGAAGTTCTGCTGGGTCAGACCTCTATTGTATTTCAAGCCTGAGAAATTCTTTAGAGAACACACTTTTGGGAGACATATTTATTTAGGAATTCCTTTTCCCTCCTAAACTCTGATTGGCTGGTATTGTTAGTTTATCTAAGCTCATCAAACAATGCTGCTGGGGGAAACCCTGCTTTCAGATCCAAGGGAATTTCTGCATGCTTTATTTCCATTTCACATAAATGGATAGCTTATAGTAAGGGATGTGAAACCACCATCACTGGCAGCCTTTAGCATACTCACAGCTGCTCACCTGGATGAAGGATAGGTTATATAATGACTATAATAATATCATACAACAAGAGTTGGAGATGTGTTTTCCAGATGAGAAATATTAAAGTCCAGATAAGTAATGCACTTCTAAAATTTCCTTACTATTTATGTAAGACTATAGTCATCTTTTCTTAATCTACTATGATAAAATAAAAGTCATCTTAATTTCTTTCAGGACTGATCATTTTTTACTGTGGTAAGCTCATTTTGTTATTTATGCCATTGATGCTCTTTTATTATTCTTACTATTATTAGTAGTAGTACATTGTATTGATTATGCCATTACAGTTACCCCATTTTTTCTCCCCTTTATCCCCCTCTGCATTGCATGCCCCCACCCTCCAGCCCCTTAGTTCATGTCCATGAGTTGTACATATACTTTCTTTCGCTTCTCCATTTCCTATACTATCCTTAACCTCCCCCTGTTGATTTTGTACCTACCAATTATGTTTCTTATTCTCTGTACCTCTTTCCCCATTCTCTCCCCTTCCTCTCCCTGCTAATAACTCTCCATGTGATCTCCATTTCTGTGATTCTATTTCTGTTCTTGTTCTAGTTGTTTGCTTAGTTCATTTTTGTTTTTTGTTTTTTAGGTTCAGTTGTTGATAGTTGTAAGTTTGTTGTCATTTTACTGTTCATAGTTTTGATCTTCTTTTTCTTAGATAAGTCCCTTTAACATTTCATATAATAAGGGCTTGGTGATGATGAACTCCTTGAACTTGACCTTATCTGGGAAGCACTTTATCTGCCCTTACATTCTCAATGAGAGCTTTGCTGGATAGAGAAACCTTGGATGTAGGTCCTTGCCTTTCATGACTTTGAATACTTCTTTCCAGTCCCTTCTTACCTGCAAGGTTTCTTCTGAGAAATCAGTTGACAGTCTTATGGGAACTCCTTTGTAAGTAACTGTCTCCTTTTCTCTTGTTGCTTTTAAGATTCCCTCCTTATCTTTAATATTGGGTAATGTGACTATGATGTGTCTTGGTGTGTGTTTCCTCGGGTCCAACTTCTTTGGGACTCTCTGAGCTTGCTGGACTTGCATGTCTATTTCCTTCACCAGATAGGGGACGTTTTCCTTCATTATTTTTTCAAATAAGTTTTCCATTTCTTGTCCATCCTCTTCTCCTTCTGGCTTCCCTATGATTCAAATGTTGAAATGTTTAAAGCCTCTCCTCATTTTTCTGAATTCCTGTTTCTTCATTCTGTTCTGGTTGAATGGTGCTTTCTTCCTTCTGTACCAAATCTTTGATTTGAATCCCAGTTTCCTTCCCTTCACTTTTGGTTCCCTGTATATTTTTCTTTGTTTCACTTTTCATAGCCTTTACTTCTTCTTTAATTTTGTGTTCATACTCAATTATTTCTGTGAGCATTCTGATGACCAGTCTTTTGAACTCTGCATCTGATATGTTGACTATGTTCTCATCGCTCACTTCTTTTTCTGGAGTTTTAATCTATTCTTTCATTTGGGTCATATTTCTTTGTCTTTAAGCACCTGTTATGTTATGAGGGGCGGGGCCTTAGATACTCACCAGGGCGGGGCAACCCACTTCACAGCGTTGCGGTACTGTATGTGGCGGAAGGGTCAGAAAGGAAACAATGCTGCTTGCTCAGCTCTTGGCCCTCTTTCAGTCACTTCTCCTACTATCCACAAGCAAATTGGGCTCTTCTGGTGTTGATTCTTGGGCGGGTGGGTTTGTGTACATTCTAGGACCCCATGGGTCCCTCCAGCAGACTGTCCTGTGAGACTCAGAGTTTCTCCTGCCACCGAACCCCCTACAGATTTTTACAGCCAGAGGTTTTGAGGCTTTATTTTCCCACACTGGAACCCTAGGTTGCGTGGTCTGTCTTGCTCCCCTGTTGTTCCTCCTGGCTTATCTGTACTCAAATATGGGACAACCCAGTCCACCAGCTGCTGCCTTGACAATGGCCTCCACACCCTGGCTACCCGTCTCCTCCCTCCTACCAATCTGGATGAATCATTCTTCTTTAAGTCCTTGTTTGTCGGACTTCCATACAATTCAATTTTTTGGCACTTCTGGTTGTTTTATTTCTTTAAATTGGTTGTTGTCCTTCTTTTGGTTATGTGAGGAAGCAAAGCATCTCTACCTATACCTTCATCTTGGCTAGAAGTATATTTTATTATTATTTTTAATGGTTAGATCAGTTAGAACAAGGGATTAGTTGAAAATTGACAAGTGGAACTACATCAAACTTAAAGACCACTTTGGATCGAAGAAAACAATCAACAGAGTGAAAAACAGCCTCTGGAATGGGAGCAAATAATTGCAAAACATATATTTAATAAGGAGTTAAAATCCAGAATATAAAATGAAATTCTAGAACACAGCAAAAAAAAAAAAAAAAAACCCAAACAAATAATTAAAAAGTGGGCAAAGGCTTGAACAGACATTTCTCTACAGAAGATATACACATGGCCAATAAGCACATGAAAAGATGCTCAACATCACAATCATAAAAGACTAGGAAGTTTAAATAAAATCAACAGTGATACATCACCTCATACTCATTAGGATGCCACTATCAAAAATAGAAAATAACAACTGTCGGTGAAGATGTGGAGGAGTTGGAACCCTTGTGCACTATTAGTAGTAATGTAAAATAGTGCTACCATTATGGAAAAGAACATGGAGGCTCCTCAAAACATTAAAAAATAAAACAACCATATGACCCAGCAATTCCACGTCTGCGAATAGGTACAAAATAATTCAAAGAAGGATCTCAGATATATTTGCACACCCATGTTCATGGTAGCACATTATTCACAACAGTCTTATTTACAAAGGTGAAGTGACCCAAATGTCCATTGACTGTCCAATGGATGAAGAAGATACATGCAGTGGAATTTTATGCAGCCTTTAAAAAGAAGGAAATCTTGTTCCATTCTACAAAATGGATGAACTCTGAGGAGATTATGCTAAGTGAAATAAGCCAGTCACAAAAGCGCAAATATTCATCTGAAATATCTAAAATCAAATTTTGGAACAGAAAGTAGAAAGGTGGTAGCCTAGTGCTGTGGGAAAGGGTGAGGAAAAATTAGTCTTTAGTGGGCATAGAGTTTTAGTGCTGCAAAATGAAAAAGTTCTAGAGATCTGTGGTACAACGACATGAATATACTTAAGATGACTGAACTGTACACTTAGAAATGGTTAACTACTGGTCAAGATGGTGGGGCAGGCATACATGGCTCACCTCTTTGCACAACCACAACTAAATTGCAGCTGCAATGTAGAGAGGCTATCGCTCAGAACCAACAAATATCAAGTTGGATGGAAGCCTTACAACTATGGAATTAGAGAAACCACATCCATCCACAATGGTAGGAGGGGTGCAGATGTGGAACCGGCTGGTCCCACATCCATGTGTGGCAGATGAAAGTTTGGGAGGGATGTCTTTGGAGCAAGGAGCCCCAGCCCCACAGCAGGCTCCCCAAGCCCAGGGTTCCAGTAGCAGGAAGGTAAGTCCCCACAACTGCTGGCTGCAAAAAGCAGTGGGGATTGAGTCAGAGAAAACTGCTAGAGGTCCAAGCAGTTCTTAAAGAACCCACACTTGGACTCACCAACTCAGACTCACTACCTCTGGACTCTAGCAACGGGGAGGTGGCTTGAGGGGCACTAGTGGTGTACAGGGTAGGGCTGAGGTGTCTGGCATCAAGGCAAGCAGAAGCCTTTGTCCCTTTTCAGGGTCTCCCCCTACAGAGCCAGCAAACTGGTGCTATATCTGAGATTCCATCCACCTGGCTAGCACTGTTTAACTAGCCTTGGAGATTCCCAGAGGCTCAGCCCCACCCAACTTACAGGCCCACCAAAGCTGCTTTTCCATATGAATGGTCTTGGCTCCTACTACACAACTTCCTAAATCCTCTCAAACAAGCAGCATCTGGCCTCAGTGAGCCCCACACTTGGAAATAGCAGCCTAGGTTCACAGCTTGGCTTCACCTGGAAATGTCCAAGCCCAGCCCAAGTAGCAGCCATCTCAGATTGCTTTATAACTCAGGCAGGGTGGCCCCGGGAAAAACACAGGTTGGGCAGACGTTGGCCTGCACCACCTAGGAAACCCCAGGGCCAGCACACCCAGTGGACAGCTACAGATCACTTCAGAGCACCACCACCTGGCCTGTGCACAGCTGACCCTCCACGGATGGTGGAGGTTGGTGGTAAGTGGCCACAGCCAACCCTTGCAGCTGACTGGCCTGGATAAATCCCTCCCATTGATTTGCCAACAGGAACCAAGGTTCAACTACAAGAGGAGGGTGTACTCAGAGCCCCCACAAAGGATGTGCCTCGCATACCCAGCTTGCGTGATAGGGGAGGCTGTGCCACTGGACCCTATAGGACACCTCCTACATTAGGCCACACTACTAAGACATGGAATCAAAGGAGCTCTACCTAAAACATAGAAACACACACAGAGAGGCTGCCAAAACAAGGAGACAAAGAAGCATGGCCCAAATGAAAAAACAGATCAAAACTCCAGAAAAAGAACTAAATGAAATGGAGATAAGCAATCTATCAGATGCAGAGTTCAAAACACTGGTTAAAAGGATGCTCAAGGAACTTAGTGAGGACCTCACCAGCATAAAAAATATCCAGTCAGAAATGAAGGATACATTAATTGAAATAAAGAACAATGTATAAGGGAAACAACAGTAGAATGGATGAAGCCAAGAATCAA